TGGGGGGAGGGGGGCGGGCAGGAGAGGGGGTGCTGAGGCAGGGGCAGGACTCTGGTTCTGTGCCAGGCCCTCTGGATAGGACATCCCAGGGCTGAAAATTGGTCACCAGCCTCAGGGACCATGTCTGCCATATCTGCGTGAAGTCCACCGCCCGTGGCGGCTGGCTCGCCGTCGTCCTAATAGAATGTGGGAGCTTGCTGTTGTCGGGTTATTCTTACATCGCCAGCTTGTAGTTTCAGCCCCCGTTCTGGATATTGTGAGCATGGTTCTTTGAGTGAAAAATGGGGTCATATAATGTCAGTGTCTGTCTGATGAGGGGCAAGTTCTTAACCTCTGCAGCCCGGCTGCCCTCATCTGTAAAATGGGGACATGAGGACTAACCTCAGGGCAGTAGGGCTATGGGAATACTGCCCAGCAGTGGCCCGTCTTTGAATCTGCTCTAAAAATGGAGGTGCTCATGACCGCCTTCTTGGTGTCTGACACTAGGGGATGTTGTGTTCTGGTTCCTGGCTGAGAGCAGCTCTGGCATTCCCAGACCCGCATCACGGTGGGTGTAGACACGGATAGCAAAGAGAGCTGGATGGAATCGGAGAGTTGCAGCTTCTGAGGTCTCAAAGGATGGAGTCCTTTGGGACAAAGCATTCCTGGCATGAAAGGCAGAGAAGGCTCATTTGAGAAGTCAGCCAGACTCAGGTATTCTGATACACCCCACCTGACGCCAACGGGCCAGGGGAGACTCCCCTATCTTGTGTCGGATTGATCAGCCTTTGCATTTTATCCAACTTGTCACTGTATCTCCAGAAGGAATTTTTTCCCGCCATCTTTTAAAAACGAAGAACTTACACTGTCAGTTTGGTCTAGTTCCGTGGTCGGCAAACTGCGGCTCGCGAGCCACATGTGGCTCTTGGGCCCCCTGAGTGTGGCTCTTCCTAAGCCTTAGGAGTACCCTAATTAAGTTAATAACAATGTACCTACCTATATAGTTTAAGTTTAAAAAATTTGGCTCTCAAAAGAAATTTCAATCGTTGTACTGTTGATGTTTGGCTCTGTTGACTAATGAGTTTGCCGACCACTAGCAATAACATCTGAATTTTTAGTATATCTGCAAAGTTTGGTATCTTAAATTAAAATATCACCTAATGTGTTAAGAAATCACAGCGAGCCCTGGCCGTCCGGCTCAGTGATTGGAGTGGCAGCCCTTGGACTGAAGGGTCGTGGGTTTAACCCCAGTCAAGGGCAGGTACCTCGGCTACAGGCTCGATCCTCAGCACAAGCCGGAGGCAACCAGTTGATGTGTCTCTCTCACATCCATGTTTCTCTCTCTCTCTGCTCTCCCCCTCCCTTCTACTCTCTCTGAAAATCAATGCAAAAAATGTTCTCAGGTGAGAATGAACAACAACAACAAAATCACAACTAATGTTTTACTTAATTATAACTTTTTCTTATTCATTAGTTGTTACCACCTTGAGCAGTGGCACCAG